AACATATGCCTCATGTTCTTTGACGCGAAATTTTAAGGCTCTCTTAGTTTGGCCAATGTAAATTAAAACCACACTGGCAAGGAATCCTATAAATACCCCAGGAATTCATATCCGGAATGGGGTCCTTGAGTATAGAAGTTGGCATTTTATTGATGGGAGAATAAACAACCCGAAAGTTAAATTTCTGCAAAATATGTGCAAACTTTATAGCTAATTGATGGAAAGAAGGGAATGACAAACAGAATTTTTATAATCTCCTAAAATAAGAGTGTGGCTTTTAGTGCGTTGAGATGAAAATTTTTTTAAAACTGCTTGATTAATAATGTTGGGTGAAAAGCCCCTGTCAATAGCTATTGCTTTAAAAATAATTTAGTTCTTCATCAAGGGCTAGTTTTGGAGGAGCAAACTTGAAGAGCACGGAAAACATAGGAATAAAATGAAGCTAACTTTTGTTTAGCGGGGATTGGATGACATGATTTAAAGTTGTGGTGGAAGGCAAACCGATGAAGGTTTACGGTAAACTGTAGTACTGAAGTTGGATGTGTTACGTGTGACCAGAATGTCGAGAAACGGAAGAGAATTGCAAGTCTCAAGTTCAAAAGTGAACTGAATAGCAGGATCAATAGAATTCATTGTTGAAAGAACTTTATTTAAATCATCTTTATTACCTTCAAACAGGGTAAAAGTATCGTCTACGTAGCGGAACCATGCCGGGAAGTTTAAAGTTTCAAACAATTTTGATTCATAATAATGCATGTAGATATCAGCCAGGATGGGACTGAGGGGGCTTCCCATGGCTAATCCCTCAGTTTGCTTAATATTTAGTTAGCTAAATATTTAGTTTCTAGATTTTCCACTCTATTAGACAATAACATTTACACCATAAAAAAATGAATTCAAGAGAGTTTGTACAAAGTTAAAACATTTCTCCTAGTCCTTTACTCATGGTTCTTTTGATGTAAAATAATTATTCACCAATGTCCCAGTGGAGGTTGCATTTAAGAAATGTCTAGAAACCAGACTTCGCGAATTCATTTCTCTTGCATCGAAAATTGATGAGCTAATTTCTCTCACTCAACTCTGTTTGAAAAAACAAACACTTTTGTTTTCCAAAATAAATATTACAAGCAAACTGAGGGATTAGCCATGGGAAGCCCCCTCAGTCCCCATCCTGGCTGATATCTACATGCATTATTATGAATCAAAATTGTTTGAAACTTTAAACTTCCCGGCATGGTTCCGCTACGTAGACGATACTTTTACCCTGTTTGAAGGTAATAAAGATGATTTAAATAAAGTTCTTTCAACAATGAATTCTATTGATCCTGCTATTCAGTTCACTTTTGAACTTGAGACTTGCAATTCTCTTCCGTTTCTCGACATTCTGGTCACACGTAACACATCCAACTTCAGTACTACAGTTTACCGTAAACCTTCATCGGTTTGCCTTCCACCACACTTTAAATCATGTCATCCGACTAAACAAAAGTTAGCTTCATTTTATTGCCTATGTTTTCCGTGCTCTTCAAGTTTGCTCCTCCAAACTAGCCCTTGATGAAGAACTAAATTATTTAAGAGCAATAGCTATTGACAGGGGCTTTTCACCCAACATTATTAATCAAGCAGTTAAAAAATTTTCATCTCAACGCACTAAAAGCCACACTCTTATTTTAGGAGATTATAAAAATTCTGTTGTCATTCCCTTCTTTCCATCAATTAGCTATAAAGTTGCACATATTTTGCAGAAATTTAACTTTCGGGTTGTTTATTTTCTCCCATCAATAAAATGCCAACTTCTATACTCAAGGACCCCCCATTCCGGATATGAATTCCTGGGGTATTTATAGGATTCCTTGCCAGTGTGGTTTAATTTACATTGGCCAAACTAAGAGAGCCTTAAAATTTCGCGTCAAAGGAACATGAGGCATATGTTAGAAAAAAGGAAACACAGAAGTCTCTCTGTTGCTCAACATTGTTGGTCCGAAAATCACACACTTTCAATTTTTCTCTGCCAAAATTATTCAAAAAAAACATCTTCCATTGGAGAACTGGATTTTCTAGAGGCATTTCACATTCATAAAAATTTTCTGTTCTAGTTAACGATCCTAATTCCCAATCCAAATTTGCCTTCGGCTTTTAGAGAAATTATGTTTTAGTTCTGGTTTCGCCAACAGATGGCGCCACTTGCTTATTCTGTCCAGGCTTCTTCTTATCTATCTATTTCCTAATCATTTTTCCTTTTGGGCGGTTTTGGCAGCTGAAGATGATGGTTCGGTAAAACCATCGAAACTAGTCCTGTGAAAATTTTGTAAATATAACGCTGATTTTTGTTGTTTGACTTCTGAATTAGTGTTTATTCGGCGTGTTATTGTGTCTTAATATATGCAACACAACTGTATATCTTCCTTCAATATGCCCGTGATTAGCTTTTAGCCAATGAAATCATTTTGCCCGATAATATAAAAACTTAGCATTCAAAATAGTTGAAAGCATAAACAGATGTCCTAAAAACATGATTTCAAGGATGATAGATAATGAGGATAAATTTTGAGTAGAACAACAAACTGCAAGGGAAAACACAAAAGAGTAAGGAAAAGGGAAATCTGTTTTGAATCGATGGTTTTCTAATCTAACTACGAGAAGGCTACACAACAGCAAACCAATTTTAAATTGCAGACCAATGAAAGGAATGTTATCATAATGGGAAATTTAATATCAAATAAGTTATGTCAATACTTCGAATGCCAAAGAAAGGAGATCAATTAAATTATCTTACCCCACCACACTGGAGAATTCTTTGATTTATGAACTAGCAGTAATACCGAGTTTAAAAATAAATAAATTAAAAAAAAAAAAAAAAAAAAGGCTATAGAATGCATTATTGTGCTGTGCTGCTACAATTTCTCAGGAAGGGGTAAAACAAAAATAAAAATTCTAGTCCCTTTCAAGTATATTTAATCTTGGCATTTTAAACCTCAGAGAATAAGTTTTTCATAAGATAAAAACTATGCTATCAAGAATGCATGGCAGGATTCTAATATTTTTGAAAAATCACATAAATTTGGAAAAATCTTGTTGCTTATGGAGCCAGGGCTGGCACTATACACTTTGCTGCCTGGTGTAATCTTTTTGGGTCCTAAATTTTGCTGCTGAATGCCTCCCTAAATTCTATTGCCTAGTGCCCTAAACTCAAAAAATGTTATCGTCCTTATATTTTGCAGCTAGGTTCTTAAATATTAAATTTAAAAAATTTTGCTACCCACTGTGACTGTCTTTGCATGGAACTCTACAATTCACCCCCATTTAGATACAAAAAACATTCACTTAGAACAAGTTCTAGTTAATGGATATGGGAATTATAAGCAATTTAAAACACTGAAATACTGCATTGCAGAAGGCTGAAATACTGCACTGCAGCAGCCTGAGGCAAATAGAGAAAATATTTAATCTACAAAAGATGCAGATGATATAAAAATATAAAGCTGCTAAAATAATTCAAAAACTGGAGTTTTGCAGGCCATACAGTTTATTAGCAGAAGAAAACCAAGTTGTAAAAGTATTCAAATCAGCTTTGCTTGTTCACGTTTCAAGACTTGAGACTATGCAGACCAATGACAATAATAAAACTACAGATGAAAGATAAAACATTAAAATCATAAAGAATTTTTAAATGTTGACAATAGCTGTCAATATCAGGTGCCCTCACAAAATAATAGGCAGCAGATTGGAAAGATGGTAGAGAGATGACTTTTTCAGAAAGATCTGGAGGCCAATTAGAAAGAAGAAAAAATGTACTTTTAAACTAAAATGGCATTTTTTGCAAGATATAAAAGAAGGATGCTTCATATCTGTATGGAATGTTTGTACTGATTTTGTCTATTAGCAGAGTTTAAAAGGGAAAAAATAGCAAGTTAAATTTGATGAACTGTTTAGCTCTGTTTAAATATTTAACACGTTGAGCGCCACGTTGGCCATCTGTGGCTGACACTAGACTTTCCGTTTAGGGCGCATCAGGTATCTGTGGCTGACACTAGATTTTCCATTTAGGCCGCGTCGACCGCCGCTGGCTGACAGCGTGTAACATGATATATAACTATAAAATTTACACTGTTTTATGGAATTAATACCCTATTATAGTAAGTAAAGACATGGACTGTTTCTGATATAGCTGTAAAACCTCTTCCGATTTACGCAGGGGTAATATTGATGTACTTGTTTTTTCCAATGGCAGATTGTGAAGAATTACAAATGTAACCCAGTCCATAATTGATTCATTGTAGGATTAATGGATTTCATTGAAACACGGTAAACATAAAAACGGTTCTCCATTACAGCTATTACAAAATGTGACAACTTTCTTAGTCTTTTTTCTGGCCATTACTCTACCAGCTTCTGTTGCATTTTTTTCTCATAACATAATTTACAATATTTCCGTACTTAAGAGGCTTTTCCCAATTTTCTTTGGAGTTTATGTTGTCATTTTTTAGATATTTTTGCATTTCTGTTCGATGGAATGTCTTCTTTTCCACAACTTGATAGCGCTAATTCTTTCCAGAATTCAGTATTGCTAATTTTCTGCTTCATAATATCTTTGTATAGAATGTAACTATTTACAAAACAGACTTGGCGGGTAATGTGTTGAATAAATGCTATAGGAATCACATTCCAAATGTAAACTATCTTCTACTGCGATAAGAATCACTAGCCCTACAATAGCAGTGCTTTTAAGCGACGCGCCTTGGCCTGAACGGGATTGTCTAAGAAATATGCGTGGCGCTCAAAGTGTTAAACATATACTTGTATACACACCAAAATACTACATAGTTTTTCAGTCATTTTTGCCTTTAGCAGTTACTTTTTCCTTTGTTCGGACTTTTGAGAAAATTTGCTTAATTTTAAGAAATTACTCTGGTTTAATTATGCTGTAGTTACGGGAATCTATTACATTTTAACAGCACTGAAATTTCCCATTACTAATAATTATATTTTGAAATACTTACAGATTTATCTAAAGCAATTTCAAGGGTATATGGATCATTATAAGTAAGAGAAGAGCTGCGACGAATCCTGTTTTTCTTGGGAATGATGGTGCCTCCTCTCTGAAATACTGGAATCTAAATAAATAGCAACAATTTATTACTACAAAATGAAACAAAGCTATCACATATCATACAATAAAAATATCATATGATGTCATATAAAATCATTTAAGTTCTTAGTACTTTTATAATAAAGCCATACTGCTGGGCATTTGTTTGTTTTGACATGTTTTTTCAGAAAAAGTAATGGAAACTTTAGTTGGTTTCTCTCTAGATAAATGCTTCTTTATTGTAAAGTAATCCATGATTTGAAATTAACCAAGAGGTGAGAAAGTGATATTCTGCTTCTTCCAGAAAGAAATGTTATTAACAAAGAAATGTTGTGTTCAGGTATACCTCATAAAACAGAAGCCAATATATGGCTATACAACATTTGTTGATGCTGGAAAATAAAGGTATATGAACACAAATATTATTTGTTGAATAAGCATTCTTTTCATTATTCCTATATGATTTATTTACTTATGGTGTCATGAGTTAACATCCATTCAATTTTATGAATTAAAACTTGCTTAAAAAGAATCACCACACAATAATTACAAGAGATATGTACCCTTCTTTATCTTGTCCTAACACTGAAATCAGTGAATGCAACAAAAATGGGCAAAACAGATGAAAACTTATCCAGACAAATAAAAGGAACATAGGCCATATTCTTCTCCATTATGAGCTTTTAGACAATTTTAATGTGAAATTAGAGGATGTTCTTTATTGCTGTTCTCGATCATTTCACTTTATCTAGGATTGAGCAAAAAGTTTAGGCAAGAAGAAAAAAAAAAAAAAAAAGTGCTGAAATATCTAAATAGCATTGAAAATACATGGTATGGCTTTAACGGGAAGCCTTTTTTAGAACTGGAAACAAAAACAATTCCTCATGTACCACAAAATAAAATTCAAGATTAAGGATGATAAACGTAAATATCATGAACACGATGTGTTTTTTAAAATTCACGTTATTATGGATGATATTTACACAGCAAAATGATTCTTATTCAAAAAATAAAACTTCAGATTATTCATATTTCGGTAAGTGGGTTACTGCCATGAAATGTTCACTTTCAAGTATAATGGCATGACTAATTTAAAATAGAATACAATAGATTAAGTTAGCTTATCTGAATACAAGTAAAGCACTACCTTGAAGAGGATGCCTTTGTGCAGGACTTCTAAGGAACAGTAAGGACTTCTAAGCAGTTTGTATTCATGTAATACATTGGGAAAACCACAAAAACTAACTATGCAGTTGGCTGGCTCATTCACCTGGGTTCCAATTACCAGTATTCAGTAGTCTTGACATTCGGCCATTGGTGAGGCCTATAGAACACAATAATCGAGGCAAATGATATGCTGTACATCACAGTATCCCTAACCATTTACCACGCACAATACATTCTAAATTCTGTCATTGGGTTTCTGAATGCTTCACCAGCTTCAAAGTAAACAAAGAATGCAAAATCAAAAATAATTTCACAACATCTAGTATGTGAAATTATGTAAAAAACTAGTTACATCCTACTTAGAGCTTGTTTTCAGTTTAAGTTTTCTTTGTGAAAGGATTTCTTTGTGAAAGGAATGCTGATAAAGATATCAAACATCAGTGGTTTTTAAAATCCTGCTAATGAGATTCAGTTCTGACAAGTTTATTACATGGTATCAGATACTGATCATGATTTCCTCAAGAATCATGGTAACAGCTGAACTCTCATCGCAAAGTGCTTATATGATATATAATACTGTACAAAGTCCGAAATCCGGACTCATCGGGACTTCGCCGATTCCGGATTTTTTCGGATATTAGATCATGAATTTAAATCTGGTAAGATGGCATGCAGAAATTATACAATTAAAAATATGAAATCTTAATTTATGAAAGAAAGAACAATTATAATTTAAAGGGTATAAAAAATTTGAAAAAAAAAAAAAAACTTAATACTTATTTGTTTACTTTATTAAACAATTCTTTTCATGTAAGTTGTTTAAGTTGCTTCCACAAAAAATTCAAAAAGTTCCTTTTTCTTTTTTCTTATGTCATATACAGTCGACTTTCCAATGCCATACTCCTCACATAATTTTGAGATGGATATGCCTTTATCCATTTTTTGCAGCAATTCACTTTTTGTTTAATGAACATCGAAACATGGTTTCGTTTTGTAGATCCTTTGGCAGCTCCAGAATTGGAAACTCTTTTTGACATTATCGAAAGTTCAAGCTTAGTTTTTATAAAATTTCCGTAATAATAACAGTCTGCAAAAAATAATAAGCTGGATCAAACTAAAAGATTAGGGAGCAGTGCAGTTCATGACATTAACTGAAATGCCTTAGAATCAGTAAAGATAATTTTAGCCCAGCTTAATAGCGTTCGTGATACATTATTGGCTGCGTATCACAAGACTGGCGACGAAAGCTAAGTTGTTTCACTAAATTTCGTCTTGCTCCTATTGCATATTTATTTCTTGCATATGCTTTAAACTAATCTGAGTCGTGAATAAATAAACTCCCACATACACTTAACGCTTTATCTATGGCCAGCGCTAAATACCACATGGTGCAGTCTCTACGGGTCTGCTACAAAGTACCATCCTAAGTTCTAAATTTTCACCGCACCTGAACTTTGCATCCCAGTGCTTTCCCTAAATCATAAAAAACTTCTCATCCCTTAATTTTGCTGCTTGGTGCTTCCCCAAATTCCAAAAATTTCGTCTTCTGTACATTCTGCCGTCCAGTGCCCACATATTCTGTTGACGCTTCTGGGTTTATGGTGAATAACATATCAGTTATTCTTAATTAAAATAGCACTAAATGTAATCTTTTGGTCTATGAGTTTCATTTAGAAAATCTATTTTTAGTATATGCAAAGAAATTTTTGTTGAATTTTTTCTCGTGGACATTTCTTAGAGCATTTAAAAATCTATCATCATCACCAAGTGTAATGTTAGCTTTAAAAGTTGCCATACTCTTGTTATTCAATCACTAATATAAAAAAAAAATAAAAAAAAAGTTCAGACATCACTGCATGAGTTATTACTGAAGCTTTCATGTATTGAGAAACATGCAGTGATGAAAGCAAAATATAATAAATAATGACTCGCCAGGGATATAAAATAGGTGAATGTTTCGGTAAGCTTGGCGAACAGTAGAACGGAACGTTTGAAATGTATGCCACGCTGATACTCAGCTATGGAGCCAAATTATTAATGTCACAAATTTATGCCTACATGATTGTTTTTCCATAATGAGGTATTTTATTTAGTGAGTAAGTGAAATTATGAATTGGAATTTTTAAGTGAAAATCTCCAAATGTTTTATTCTGGACGGAAAAATAAAATGTGCATGCATAAAGCATACAAAAAAAAAAAAAAAATGTGACTTGGAGGTTCGGATTTTAGATCATTTCGGATAATGGACATCTGGATTTCGGACTTTGTACTGTATTTCAAATTTGCTTGGTGGCAAATAGTTCTGAAAAAAAAAAAAAAAAAAAAAAAAAAAGTTAAACAGGTTGGTACTGCATGAATTAATACAATAACATGGTACACAGGTTTCATACTGGCTGTTTCCTCCTCATTTAGCATTTCGATACAAGCATCTGTCATTTATGATGAAAGGTGAGGATTTAGCAAGCATTAGTAACTAAAATAATATACCAAAGAACAAATGTTGAAGATGATAATGCAATAAGAATCAGTGTAAGTTGCATACTAGACTAGTTTTATAAGCCAGCCTAGTGCCGACTAGGCTGATTAGAATCTCCTTTAGCTGTAGAAGTAAAAATGATGAAAAAGAAACATATGCTCAGACCTCAAAATTTCACACTAAATAACCATGAGACATATGTTAAGAAAAAATAAATGCAAAACTCCTCTATTAACCAATATTGCTGGTCAAACAATCACTCTTCCATTTTTTTAAAATTATTATATTATTTAAAAATTATTCAAAAAACGTCTTTTGTTGATAAAATTGGAAACATTTGTTGGTTGAACCTTAGAGGCAGTTTACATTCATAATATCTTTTTGGTTTCTAGTAAACCCATTAACTGCCAAAACTACAAGGAATGATTTTTTTATGCAAATAATAAGCATTAAATTTAGTTTTCATAACATAAATTTACACTGAAAATAAAAAAGTGCTCTTATGTGTGGTAATGGTGTATTAGATTACAGCAAAGCACTCGAGGACTATCTGCCTTAAGGAAGGGATGCCTTCGTGGAGGACTTTTTAAGGGAAACTGGCTCGTATACACGTTACACATGGGGAAAACCACGAAAACACCCATGCAGCCAGCCCGTTCGCGGGATTCGAACCTCAGACCGAACTACCAGTGTTCAGCGACGTTACTGCTTGGCCGCTGGTGGGCCCTGCTCTTATATGTGAAAAAATCAAGTGTTGTATTCGCACAACATCAGCAGAATAAGAATAAGGATGTTTAGTGAGTATGATGGTACTTGTGCAAAGTTTTCTTCGAGGGCAGCACTGCATTATTCTTTAGCTGTGCAGCGTTTTCTAAAACTACAAATTACTATATTTGTAATTAATTTATTATTAAAATTCACATCATATTTCTTTTACAAATTAAGATTATTTTCAATTGAAAGTTTCAAGTATGAAAAGCTTCACCACAATCATGATATAAAGCTAAATTATATACTTTGCATCTATAATAAGTCTGGCTATGGCATTCTTTACAACAAAATCTTCTGTTATTCTCAGACTTTATGATAAAATGTCTACTATCTCCATGCAATGGCTTTTAAATGTTGAATTTACTAGGTCTTTCTGTTGCTGATCTATTTCTGGTTAATTCTACATAATACTTCTATTGAGTATGTAGAATGAGAAGAATAGAAGTATGTAGAATACGTCTACTGAGTATGTAGAATACTTTTATTGATTATGTATTTATTCCTTTTGCAAAAATGCAAAATGAATAATGCAAGCTCGCATCTGAAATCTAAAAAATACATTTTATTTCCAGTAGTAGTCATGCTATTTTTCATCCATTTGTCAAGGATAC